GCCTTGGTTCCAACATCCTCAACACAATCCGACCCACCTGACACTCCTCACCTGAGACTCTGACTCACCTCATATTCCTCACACCACATCTCAGCCCACAGCAACTCCCTCATGGAATATTTGAGGTAACCTCTACAAGCACATGGCTATTTCCAAAACCCAACTGGCACTTCAAAACACTCTCAAAGCAAGGCACAAAGTAAGCTTATGCGCCAGTGCACACCCGTGCCTGTGGCAGGAGCACGTCCAGCAGCCCCTGCTGGGTGTGCAATTACAGAGGGCTCTGGTGCACTCTATGGTGTGTGCACGGCAGGGCGTGGAGAGGAGACAGCCTGAAGTGGGTGAGATGCTTAATCACAGCAGCAGGAGAGGGACAGACCCAGTGCTGCCCAGTTCTGTGGGGATGCAGTGGGAGCAGCTCCCCTGTGATGCTGTGAACTATCAGCTGCACCAGAGCAAACACCAAACCCCTCTTTGTTTTAATACAACTCACTTTTCTGACTCCAAACCACCCTTGAATTGTCAGAACCCACTTCAAGTGTTCTGCCATCCCACCACGTCATTCCCTAAACCAACCAGACCCCCTCACCAGCAGCAACTGCAGCAAATGGGCTGGAACACAGGCTGTGGCTTCTGTGGAGCAGCACCCAACCCTTCCCACAACAGATGTGCACCCAAACTCCTCCTTCCCAGCAGAAGTGTCTCCTTGATACATTCCCAGAGGATTGCATAGCTCATCTAGGGCTCAGCAGCAGCCTCAGTTTCCCCTCCCAGCAACAAAGATCCAGGCTTTTCACAACAATAGTTAAAAATAAAAAGCTTTTTCTGCAGATTTGGCTTTAACACAACCCATCCCTCGCTGCTCCTGGCAAAACCTCCTGAATGCAGCCTGATAGCTCAGCCACAGATTATTTTGTTGTTTCCTGCCTTCAACTTCACAGTGAAGCACTAAAGAAACCCAAAGCAAATAAATCCAAATTCTGCAGCCTTGATGCAAAAGTGCCCCTGAAAATCCAAGAACCCTCATGGATTCACGGTGCATTTCTGATTTCTGGACTTGCTGCTGCTCATAAGCCCTAAGCTGCACTTGCATGCAGATTTTCCCTCTGGCTGCTCACTGGTCCTCACGTGGTGCCTTTGCCTGTGCTGTGGTCAGGTGTGGAGTTGAAGCAGCTGGGCACAGCCAAGGGGCTGGATCCAGCCCCCAGCACATCCCCAGGCCCTGCAGATCCCACGGCACAAGGGCTGATCCCGGGGCCACTGAGCCTCCCAAACCCTGGCAGACACCACCTCTTTGTGAGCCCACCATCTCTGGCAGACTCCAGACTCCCATCTCCTCCTCGTTCCCCCACCCCACCAGGGTTTGTCCCTGCCCGAAATCCTGAGTGTTACACCCTGCACCTTCCCCCCTCGGGAGAGACTTCCATTGTCTTTGCAATTACTGCTCCTGTGGCTTATCCCACTCCATCCTGTCCTGCTTCCTGCTCACCTGCAGCTGTAGGTGATTGGAGTCTGTGCATGGCTCCACACCCAGCGGGCTGGCTCGGCCTCACCACAGCCCGGACTGTGACAAAGTTCACATTTGCCTGATAACAGGCACGGTGGCAGCTCAGGTGATGTGATAAAACACCGCATTCCAAGGAATTTACTGCCAGGGGAATCTTCTACCACTTCATGGAGCAGCACTTGTTCTCTTTGGAAGAAAAATGGCCCAAACTGATGAGTGCTAGCTCAGAGCAAGCACCAGCTCAGCACCTACCAGGTGTAACGTGGGAATTCCAGGAAATGCCTGGTTTGTACCTCATCCAAAACTGTATCTTTGAGATGCCTGAAATGCTGCAGAACTGCCAGAAAAAGCTGAGACAGGCACTTCAGGACACATGGGCTTTGGGAACAGGTTGTCCAAACAGTGGGACTTAAAAAATAAAATAGGAACTAAATAGCGACATCCAAAGGAACCAAAATCGGGAGGAGGAAGGAACAAGGGAGCTCTGCCAGCCCAGCTGAGCATTCATGACCCTGCAGCAGGAATGAGCTCCGGGGGTGGAGGGCAGCTCAGCAGCTCCCATGTTGGGACAGATCCTTACAGACGGGAGGAGCCTCGGCAGGAGCAGGGATCAGCCCTGAGTAGGAGGGGGCAGCTGCCTGAGGAAGGGAAAACATGGAGCACACAGACCTGACCAAGGGCAGAGCTCTCCCCACAGCTGAGGGGGCAACACCCTACACTAGAAAAGCTCCCATGTTGTAGTGTTGGAAAGGTGAGGTTTCCTCCACCAAACACATCCCTAAAATTGATCTGTCCCAGCTGCTCCCTTGGGCCTCTCCTTGCAGGGACACTCAGCAGCTGCTTCTCATCCAAACCTCATCACAAGCTCCTCACCTGGAGTCACTTAACCCAGAGCCCAAGCCCAACAAAGGGTCAGGAGGTGGGAAACAATCCCAAAGCCCCTCAGTGGCAGCAGGTGCCACACAGCGAGTTAAGGACGCGCTGCCAGACCCGGAACTGCTGTCACAGAACACACAGAACACGCAGTGCAGGGAAAACAGCCTCGGGGCTGGGACTCGGGAGGGGAAAGGGACCATTGCAGTGTCCCCAACAGCCACGTCAGCGGACACGGGTGACAGCTGTGACAGGCACTGTCAGACATGTCTGTGCACAAAGCCACGGCCAGAGTCAAACAGCCCCACAGGCACCGTGGCCGTGGGGAAAGGGCCCCGTGTGGAGCTGGTGCAGCTCAGAGCGTGTGTAACCAGACCCTCGGCACTGACCCGAGCCCCCCGCCCGCACAGCCACCCCTTGAGGGGCTGCAGCAACTCCCTTCCCAAACCAGGGCTCAGAGCATTTAATGTATCCAAGGAGAAGGACACAGTCTGACCCAGAGGCACATTCACGTTTCAGAAACACAAACCTGTGCTCCAGGGCAGCTCTCCTGGCCGGGGCCTCTGCCCCAGACAGGGATCAGGCTATGACAAAGGGAAATCACATCAAATTTGGCCACAACCGGGCCAGTCACATCCCTCTCAAAAGTCAAGGTGTGTAGTGACAGTGGCACAAATCTCCTCCCCATGCTCCAGTACAAACCAGTTGCTCAGGGACCAGGAGCAGCAGCATTTCCAGCAGAGGCTGAAGTGGTACAAAGCTGTGGCTCCAGAAGCACAGCACTGAGTGGTTTCCTCAGCAGATGCCAAAAAAAGGGGACGAGAAAAAAAACTAAAAAAGGTCCAAAAGCTTCAAACCAGAGAATTGCACAGCGCAGGGCTGGGGACACCAAAGCCACTGAGGGAGATCCTCCAGAGCCGACCCCGACCCCACAGGGGGTCACCGGGAGGGTGCCCCAGCAGGGCCCGGACACCTCACCCAACACCCACAGCCGGCAGCTCTCCCACCGCGGGACCCCCCGCACGTCCTGGGCTGCACCCAGAACCCTCCAGACGCACCACAGCTCCCCAGTCACACCAGTCGGAGCGCCCGCACAGCCGCGCTTCGGTCCCGGGGCAGTAGGACACCCCTGGGCAGCGCCAGCCCTGGCAGTGCCAGCTCCAAACAGACAGACAGACAGCCGCCCTCCCCTCCTGGCCCACCGG